CTTAGTGGAAAATCAGATATGTTCATTTCCCATGGGATCTCAACATCCCCAAATAAACCAGAGATGGCATATAGTCAGTACATAGATAGGAGAGCGAATGACATAAAGCTTCTTCGGCGAAGCTCTGGCTTTATTTCACAGCTAGCTCGCCACTTTTTAAAGCTTTACGTGTCGTCCATTGGAAAAACGATACTATTGCAAGAACAAGGCAACATATAACGAGCATCTGGGCTGAACGACATCCTGGCGCCATTGAAATGGCTCGCACGCGCTTACCTAGAACGTTTGGACGAAATTACTGCAGTATTCAACGAGTGGAACACACCTGACTCCAACGGAAAAAACCATCAAAGGGCTGAGCCTTTCGAAATGCTCTCAGCAGGAGTCTCTTTGTCACCTTCGAATATAAAAATTGAATCAAGACGAATTTCGATTTCTTCCCGGATCAGGAATCATCCTGGTCATTTTGAACTGAGATCGCTTACACGGACCGGAATTGACCCCATTACCACCTATGCAAGAGCGCTTAGGATGCAGCTGGTGTGTGTGCTGTCAAAGATGAGCAGAAGCGTGAAATCCGAACCACCACCATGCATGTGGGCCAGTCAATGACCATCTTGACCGCTGCTGGCTGGCAGCGATAAACCGACGGAAGAGTAATCAGACACCGAAAATACTTCACTCTCTATCGGGTCCCGATCACCACTCTACAGCTTCATCGAAGCCACGAGCAAATATACCATACAGGAACAACATTCCAAGCTTATCCCAGCCAATGCTATACCATTGGAGTTTCTCATTTGCAGCTGCACCGCAAATGACCATATTGTGTCCAATTATTGCCTAATTGAGTTACGAAGAGCCCAAGGGTACGATGACCATCAGTAGCCAAGAAAAGCATGACAAGAATTGCGAATTTACTGAGAGAAATTGAAAACTCTAATGAAGTACTTCGGCCATTTCGGCACACATTCTTCCACTTCATTTCGACTGCAAGAACATAATCATGGTTCGTCACTGGGGGACCCTAGGGAGCTGTATGTCCAACACTCACTACGTATAACTAAAAGCTGCAACCCAGTGGGAAACACTTATGTAAATCCTGAAATATGCAATAAAATAGGTTTAAAATTGACTCACACCATCGCTATCTCCTCGTAAAGACAACTGATCCCACTTGAGGTCTGTTGTTGCGGACCTTGTGTCCATCAGAATAACTGAAAGCAGTAAACAGTTAGCGGTACCCTTTTTCATTCACAAACACTTCATCTTTTGCCTCAGCATGGAGGCGATTCCCATTTGAGCAATGCGACCTCACAGGTTGTCTGAGAGGGTACTCGATACTAAGCAAGTCGTCCATGGGCATAAACGCCTTACCGGCACTTGACATGATGCGGTCACTTGACAGAGTCTTAGGGACAATAGCCAATCGCCTAATCGCTTCACACTTCTCTCACTCATTTTCAAGAGCCTACTGACTCTTTGGATGCCGTCATTGCAATCGTCAAGCCATTCATTCCCAAGAAGATGATGTCTCGCCCCGCTCTAGCCTCATATAACTACGATGCAGTTCGGCCAGCTAACGCATTTCACTGATTTCACACCACTTCCATATAGCGACGAATGTGAGAACGCTAGCAGGGACTGCGAACTCTGCGCCCCCAGAACGGGTAATGGATGAATGTACTGAGCGCGAGCTCGTCTCTGGAGGAATGACTAAGCCACAGCTGCTGAAAAATCTGCATACTGAAGGGAATGATTAAAGATGGATTCACCAGCCGTCTATTGAACTCCTCGAGACGTCTCGAAAAACCCAAGCGAATTGCCTTAAAGTCGTCGGAAGTCCAAAAACGTCCGCTCCATTCATAATGGAACTCCACAAAGTTCATCGTAATTCAACCATCCATTCGGAAAACCACCAAAATTTAGGTCAATTTTCTACGAGAGCCTTGGCAAGAGGGGACGCTTATCGGAACGAATGACTCATAGTTTATTTTAGTCTCAGAAGAGGTCAACCGGTAGGCTGACCTGCTGATGAAGCAATAGCCTGGAACAGATAGCTTTGCGCTTGTCTATATGACCCCCATTTTCAAGGGGATCATCGCATCCGGTGCTAATATACTATGAGAGGCGCTTTACTATACGAACACATGGTCAAGTTCCCATATTACTACATTGCGCAGCTTAACGTCAAGTATCCAGCTAATATAGGGTGACTGGCTGACATTCGAATGGCCTCGTCTGTCGCTCTGCCCATCGGAACCTCATCCCATCTACGCTCATCGGGAAACTGGTCGTTCACTCAGCTACCCTATTCCAATTTTGTCAAATGCTATGGATAGCCATTACGTTCTTTTTTTCTGGGCCCTTGATTTTCCAATACTGGGCGCAGATTTACACATGATTCACTTCTAGAATTCCAATAGATGATATCTGACACGAAGCCGAATGTAGTCAATGGGCGCCGTGGTTGATTAGNGAACCTCATCCCATCTACGCTCATCGGGAAACTGGTCGTTCACCCAGCCACCCTATTCCAATTTTGTCAAATGCTATGGATAGCCATTAAGTTCTTTTTTGGGTCTTTGATTTTCCAATGCTGAGCGCAGATTTACACATGCTTCACTTCTAGAATTCCAATAGATGATATCTGACACGAAGCCGAATGTAGTCAATGGGCGCCGTGGTTGATTAGTGAAGCGATTACGTGAACTGAAGTGACAGCTATAGGACGACGCCGCTGTTGGCCTGTGTGTAATCCACAGAGGAACCTTTCCATGTTTATAAACACCGGTTCTACAGCCCATACCAAAATGGCAACCGTTACAACGATCAAGCATCTTACGGTTAGGATTAAAACGTAGGACCGAATGAATGAGACGGACAAAAACCTGGATGCAAATAGAATGGACCCCGTTAGTCAATCAAAACTTCATATTAGTATATTTCTGGGAAAACAGCGTCAGGAAGTTGCTTAAGGCAACCACAGAAAAGAAAAACCTCCGCGCGATTAAAAGTGCATCTAGGGATTAGGGCTTGGGGGCATTATGAATTCCCACAGAGTTCTTGGAGTCGATGTGAATAAAAACGGTTAATGACCTGAGAAATGACTACTACCAAAAGGCACGGAAAGTAAGCTCCTCAGCAGTTAAGTAAACACTGTCGTATGGGAGAACTCATAGTTTAGAAAAAAGTTTAATCGGAAACTTCCAAAAGTCGAACAGAAGGCTAAATGTTTCCTAGGTGGTTGCTTGTTACTCATGGGCCCCGCTCTTGCGAACGCATAGGTACATGGGAATCAGTGTGACGGAAAGATGAGCATACCTAATAACTAGGTTCGAGCCAGCAGGTCGCGCACTAATGCGCATACTCTTTTGTCTTGACCAGCACATTACCCAGCTCTCCGTAGGGGCTCTTTCCAGCCTCATGCATATGCTAAAAATTTTCCGCCAAGATGGCCAGTCCGGGCCCGTTCGTTCATCATATGCGATGAAACTCAGCGATGATAAATCACAACGAGCCGTCAAGTGGGGTGAGAGAACGCATTCCGAGGACCTCGAAAGGGGAAAGTATTGGTCGCAGAAGTATTGGTTTCGGGAGAAAAAGTTTTCCTCGCTTTTCCAAGTGAAAGCCAAATATGACAGACTGCGAATGCCTTGGAAAGAGCCGTTCAAAGTTCTAAAATTGGGATGAAAGTCTCTTACTCACTGTACAACCATTATTGACTCTGAACCTACTCAACCGGGATGAAGCCAATAACCAAATTCGCGTCCATTGAAGAAAAAAAAATGAATGGATGGGACAAAAAAGCAAGTACGCATTCAGAAGCTGATCCTGTCTGGATCTGCCCAGCTTTTTCACTCACAGTCTCCAACTCGTTCCCTCGTCACAGCCCCTTCGATCCTATCTAGACAAAGCAGAATTAACTTCACGCGTTCGTCGTTGTGTGCGGTATTGCCAGCGCCATCCATTCTATTTTACACCTACAGCTGAGGTGAGAGCGACAGTTGTGGCCTATCGAATATCACTCGCCAATCAAAACCCCTCACACCTGATCTTCCAATCACACTAACCATCAATCAAGCCAATGAAAAATGAAAGTCTTTAAAGAAAGACGTTTGAAAAACGAAGCAAAGACAGCCCATTACTGAAAATCGCCTATCATTGTGTGTTTGTGCCACCAGCCGAACGACACCTAATAAGCGCACTGGCGCCAAGAAAATTGGCCCGTACCTTCAGTGCACAATACCACAAATAGCCGTCATTACTAGTAGCGATGCTATATCCTAGAGAGGTCGGAGCCAATAGTCGTTTGGCTTGATGATGGTCACTTACAATGATGATAGAGGGACGGTCCAACGAAGACAGTAACAAGCTATTATGCAAATAGGATGCAGTTACGCAATTAACACTAACATGAGCATATTGATTGACTAACCCGATTCGAATAGGTATGACGTTAACCTGATGAAAAAATGGTCCCAAAAAGGTAATTATATCAATTTTGGAGGGCTCAAAATGGACAGCATCGATAAAATGAACCACTCATCATGAAACAAATGAGCTGCTACAGACAACCTCTTCAGCTTTCCTCAAGCTTCTTGCAGAATGCAGGAAATAGGTAGGTAATTCCGCGTAAGTCAGAGGAAATTCTTGGAATAAGAGTGGAAATACTAAGAAGAAGAGAGAAAATTCCAAGAATAAGGGTGGTTTGAAGAGGTGAATCTTCCAGGAAATAACTTCTGGTCAGTAGCTATCACTAAGGAATGCAACAAAGAAAAGCCCATGCCAAGTACGAAATTTCCATTCAACCTCCATTCAGAAAATGAATAAGCAAGTAAACAAACAAAACAACAATAAATTAAAAGAAAACTCACCATGTGAGGATGAACATAGGAGAAACAAAGAGGACAAATGGCTCAAGAGCCCAAAAAGCCTCATTGCTGATGAGAATATGAAAACGAATAACAGCTATTTCAGTATAGTTGAGCAACTAGCAATACACCATATCCCACACTGGAAAAAGGGGATAGTCGTAGATTTCGTGAAAAGAGGCGTTCTGAAAAAGAAAAACGATGAACTTTGCGTAATTTTGCAAAAAAGTAGACGGCGAAAAAACGACGAAAGCGATGGCAACGTAAAGTGTGAATATGAGAAGAAGCTAGCAAAATAACTGGAAGATGATCGACAAATGAGGTTCAAAACACACGACGTCAGAGGGGGAGCCAGCGAGTAGAGCGGTGTTTCCTAAACAAGGCGGAGCCCGGGCAGACCCCGATGAATTGCCACGCCTCCACAGCCAACACTACCACCATCCCCATCACTACCACCACCGGCTACGTTGAGCGATCCATTAGGATGCAAATAAGGATGGCGAGAAGAATCTCTGTTCGAGTACTTAAGTGCTATGAGATCAAGAGAGATGGGAATCAACGCGTATAATCACACAGAGCAGATCTGCCGGAAAAGGAAGAACGTTAATGAGTTGAAATAAAAACCATGAGGAAGATCAATACCTCAAGAAAAAAAAGAGAAAACCTTTGCCTTTCCCAATTTCATGGTCTATTAGACATCAGGAAAAACATTGTATGATGACATTGCCTTTCCCAATTTCATGGTCTATTAGACATCAGGAAAAACATTGTATGATGACATCAGTAAGAAAATGTTGCGAGGAGCCCGTGGGAAAGAACACGAGGGAAGGAACTTCTTTCTAGAACTTAGTAATCACTGAAGTAGCCGTATTAAATTATGGGTAGCCAAACAAAGGAGGTAAGATAGGAAATAAAAAGAAACTGATACTCTGTATGAACTCGAAAACTGAGCCCTTTGGGTGTTGAAGCTAAAAAAGTCAAAAAAAAATCCTGCCAAGCAGCATTAACTTTCAGTAAA